ATGGCTAAACTGCGGCTTGCACAGAAGTCTAATAACGAAACACTCGAGTTCAGATCAGGTGGGCCGTTCCTCCCAATCACACCCCTTCAGGTCATGCTGTCATTGCCCACGTGAGCATTGAAGTCCCCAGCAGGACAATGGAGTCCACTGATGGAGCACTATCTAGCACTCGTCCCAGCGACTCCAAAAAGGGTGGGTACTCTGAACTGATATTTGGCCCATAAGCACAAACAACAGTCATGTCCCATTCCCCGACCCGAAGGCGCAGGGAAGCTTCCCTCTCGTCCCCCGGGGTAAACCCCAACACACAGGCAGACTCTTGGGGCTAACAAAAAGCCCACGGGCCCCAACCCCAGGCCTGGCTCCAGGGTGGGACCCCGGTAACCCTCCGGGTCGGGTACTCCAACTCTTTGACTTTACTTCCATGAAAGATCCTATGAACCGTTCTTTGTCTCACCCTTCACCTAAGACCAATTTGTCATAGGAGACCCTACCAGGGGCACGAAGTGCCCCAAACAACATAGCTCCTAGGATCATTAGGGCACTCAAACTCCTCCACCACAAAAAGGTGACGGTTCAAGGAGGAGGAGTTTAAAGTTACTCTGAGAAATTAGTTCATTCAGGTTCAGCTAGATCGAGAGCTAATTTCCAGGAACAAGGAGCAGAACACTATCTCTTCCTGCCAGAAATCTCCGTTGATTCAAAGTGTGTTCAAAGATGTCTGGAGGCTTTGTTTGTGGATCACACCAGAAAAAGGCAGGAGGGAGCCGACTAGCCAACACCAAAGATGTCAGAGTTCAAAGGTCCCATTCAGTATTTTTTTTACAGATCTGCTGTTAAAAATCAGTTTTCTGTGGCTAAAAGCTCTTTTGCTCCTGTTTCAGGGGGTAGAAGTTAGTTGGAAACTGAAAATATAGTAAAACCATTTAGAAGAGTGAACTTTAATGTGAAATTAACTTTTTTAGTTGTTAGTTTGAAAACTAATATAATTAACCTCCTGAGACCCAAATTTGTATTTGGTGTGATTTAAAAGTACGGTAAACAATTCTAGCTATTATAGATTAATCGACTCTCAGCAATGTGATCAAAATGTTACATAGATTAAAAAAAATTAGATAAAAATGTTGACAAATTTCTTAATAAAGAAAATGAAAAAAATTTACTTTAGCCCTCAGGCTCAAATTAAGTTTTGATAAAATGACAAACCGCTACGTCCTTCAGGGGTACTTCTGAGTAAAAAAATGCTCATGAAATACGTATGTGGAGTAACCAGGTAGGTAGGTTTTAACATTGCTAATCTGCAGCGCCTGCCTCCAGAGGGTTAAGGCAAGGCAAGGCAGCTTTATTTATAGAGCACATTTCAAACACTGAGGCTGAAATTATGACAAGTCTCTAAATAAAGTAAAATTTTCCAGTGCAGATTGGAGACAACACATAGAAGCACTGATTTGATCTCATTTCAGAGAAAAATAGAACAGGTCAGATGCACCTAATAAATAAAATTACTAACAAACTCAAGAATCTTTCTTTGCTTCACTGTTCTGGTGCTGAGAATATCACTAATGCGGAACAAAGGAGATACACAGATGAATGCACCTCTTATTTATTATTTGGAGACTACATTTACTGCAGCTGGCAGAGGCAGAGATTTTTTCTATTGATACATGGAATTTACAGAATCATTTTAAATTTTAATAGGGGAAGACTGCAGGAGGGAGCGGTAAAATACAGGGGGTCCCCAGCAAAAACAAGAAATTCACGAGTCTGATGAAACCATCGACATATATACAGGATGAAACCCGCTGGTTTTCCATCAGGCGGTCACCGGGCAGCTCCAACGACCCAGTGGCTGTGCTGGGTCAATGTTATCGAGCTCAGTCCGGCTCGGCCGTGAACGAGCCGAGGCGACGTCGTGCTCTGCTTAAGAAGAAGTGTTATTTTCCCGCTTCAGAAGAAGCGTCCAACGTGATTTTTCTTGTATCTTGTTTAAAAAATTATATATTTTAAAAATATCTATATATCGTCCAGCCTTAGACGCTTTATTAATTGGGGACATTTGTGAAACACGCCTTTTGCACGGATCTCTGCTGCCTCTATAAACCCTCCAAACCTGGATAAAATCCATCTGTTTTCTGTTAGTGTTTGCTTTCAGAAATTGCCTAAAACAAGCCATTTTAAAATTCCCGTTTGACGTCACAATCAACCATCTCTCAACTTGCAATGTCGGAGGAGCAGTGGGTCTGCTCTAGCGCAGAGGGCATAGCACTTTTTAGGGATACCCTGCCATTGATGCAGTCACTTTGCTAATGTGTTTGTATAATTTATGTATTTTAGAGACTTAACATGGACAAATTTGTCCACTTCTCCATGCAGTTACCACATATAAACTGTTATATCCCATAATATCCTGACACAGTTTGCTGTGTATCTTTTGTACTCACTAGGTTTTATACCCTCTGACTTTTAAGCTTGCTGCACACGAGAGCAAACTGCTGAGCAAACTTCCTCGAATGACCATTTGTTGAGCAGATACCTTGCTGTGTGCGCCCAATTTTTACTGAGTTTTCTGCCTCACAAGAAGCTGAGGTGAAAATCAAACCAGTTTGATATTTTTTGTCTCACGGGGGTAGAAACTCACCGTGAGCTTCCAGCTGAGCTGAAATATTCTAGTGGCCAATCAAAGCGCATTCTCCGCTCACATGATTCCCTCTCGAAGGATTCAGGATCCATGCAGTTTTACTGTCGGAAGCATTCTGGGTCTTCAAGGTGCATCTCATGGGGTAGATTGGCATAAACTCCTTGCCTGGCCCTTCTTTGCAGCTACCGTACCCATACTTTCCTAACCTCTTAATGACGGTGGCAGCGATGCTTCATCAACAACAAAAAAAGTTGAAGCATTTCCTCAGTTTCCAGCTCTGCCTCCATTGTTTATTTTCTAACATGCTGACTGGGGGCTGCCATTTTGGAGTCATGTGAGTGGAGAACACGCTTTGTTTGGCCACTAGAATATTTCAGCTCAGCCAGCAGCTCATGTAGTGCACACACGGTGAGTTTTTTCCCCCCGGGAGGTGTAAAATATGGAACTGGTTTGATTTTCACCTCAGTGTCTTGTGAAAAATAGGAGCACACAGTGAGGTGTCGGTTATTCAAGACTGTTTGCTCTTGTGTGCGGCAGGCTTTACTTTGAAGCGTTTTTAATCTGCTCCACATCTGTTGCTAGAGATCTACGGCTCTTGCTTTATTTGTCTTCAGAGGGAATTGTGGTGCTTTTGACCAAGTTAAAGGAAGCGTGTCCTGACCAATCGCAGGCTTGCTATCTCCGTTGCTATTGACAGATCGTGAGAAAAGTGGATTCTACTGCGTCCATCCTTGTAAGCCTGTTGAACAACATGAACGATAATGACGTTGTATGTCTCCGCACCAATGCAGACAGGGTGTTTCTTCACTGTCAAGGCGCCTGGCCTTGCAAGGCCAGGTGCCTTGCTTACGAGGACACTGTTCTTCCTTGGTCAAAGAAAATGGTAAAATGGAACAGACTTGCATCACGTGACCGTGGCTTCCACGGCGGTCACATAACGTCATGTGACACTGGAGATGACGTTATATTTTATTTGTATACGTTTCAGTACAAATATACAACAAGCCTTTTATTTTTAAATTGTGTATGTATATGTTAAATATGTAAGCAAGTTACTACCAACTAGCCATCAAAGCTGCAAGTAACCAACCATAAATAACTTCTTTGGATCTAAAAAAAAAAAAAAAAGAAACCATTTTAAATGAGCTGACTTACTTTTGAACTTGAAATTTGACCCCGAAGTAGCTGCCGGCTTCTGATCCGCCATCCTTTTGAAAGTATTGCGGTGTATTCTGGGTAATTTTTGACCAAGGCTAGGCTACAAGACACCACCCGTGTATCCTTGCACAGCTAGCTAAACGGCTAACAGACGGAGAACACACACCTTGGTCGAACATGAACATTGGAACATGTCTTGGCGGCTCCTGATGACGTATCTCCTAGGCAACTGGGGCGGAGCCAAGACATCTAGGCGAGGTTCCTTGGCATTGAGAAACACCCACAGAAGTATAAACTAGCCTTTAGGGTCCCGTGTAGGGGGTGGGTGGGCGTGGCCCCCACTTGGGAGGTGAGTGGGAGTGGTCAGCAGCAGCTTGTTTTTTTAAGTGACAGAAACGACTCATTCTGGAAGGTACTGAAGCTGTCAAGGAAAAAACTGCTGAGATTGCTTTATGTGAGAAGGATTCATTGCAAAGAATTTCATGAACATGTTTTGTATAAATTAAAGAAATACGATTTTAAAAAGTCATGTCCTCTGTAAAACAAGCTTTGTGAGTTTATATTATAATGCCTGTTTTGTTCATTTGACATTAACAGAAAAACTTGTTCATTTTTGTTCTGTTCTGTAATGCTTGAAGATTTCATTTAAAAATAAACCTAAGATATTTATCTTAAACGATTATGTAATGTTTGACATATTCAGCTTTTGAAACATTAATCTTTAAATGGCCTGTTTTTGTATAGCGCCTTCTAGGATAATACAACCTCATTCAATCATTACTGATTGACAGAAATATTATTTCTTATATTGTAACGTACATGAATATCAACTGATAGGAAAATGTTATCTAAATAGTAAATTTGATTTAGATTGATCTTCCTTTTTGATTTCAGGATGATGGCTGACAGATGACCTCCATGGAGTCCGTGTCCTCGACCCCACCCTCCCTAGTTGTCTCCGAGCTATGAGGCCTGGAACTGAACCTCCAGCAGTATTTCATGGAATTCATGTATCATAGTGGATTGTTGGAAACTGGCTCTCTGTCACCCTCTTGATACACCTCTACCCCCTCCCTGCAACCAAACAGTAGGATGAAATCACAACCATGTGACTGGACCTGAACTCCATTACCATCGAAGACCATTGTCGTGGTGTCCTGTCACCGGTTCCCTACAAAACATCCATCCTGTATTGTCTTTAGGCCATGGTTCTCAAGAAAAGTTCTGTAATCCTATGCAGTGCTTTTCTTTTTGTAGCCTGGAATGCATTACTTTTGCTGTACCTTTGGGGCCGACCTCCCATCGGCCGCCTCGGAGAGGGCGGAGGAGCCGAACCAGGAGGGCAGGAGGAGTGGGGCCTCAGCAGGGACAGAGCAGGTCACAGCAATCTTGCCGAGGAGATGATCCGGCTGGCAGATGAAGTGGAAATCCAGCTTGATACCCAGAAGAAGCTCCTAAAGCAGATTGAAAGTCACCGGGCAGTTTGGGCTCAGCAGAAGTGGGCTGGGAAAAAGGAGGATTTTTTAAAAGAACTGAAGGAGGTGGTGATCCAGCAGCCATCTCCCAGAACCCCTGGTCCTAATCTGAACAGCGTGAATGTCCACACTGATGATGGAAACACACAGAAAATGGTTAGAACATCAGCTCCAAACTCATACTCCGAGGACTCCCCAGAGAAGGTTCTGAACCCTCAAGGGACAACACCGGTCCTCAGTCCAGAACCCACCATTCCCATTCTGGTCATCGCCTGTGACAGAGTCACAGTGAAGCGCAGCCTTGATAAGCTGATTCAGTATCGGCCCTCAGCAGAACTTTTTCCAATTATTGTTAGTCAGGACTGCGGCCACTCTGAGACAGCTCGCGTAATTGGCTCGTATGGCAATCAGGTGACTCACATCAGACAGCCAGACCTATCCGACATCCGAGTCCGACCAGAGCACAGAAAGTTCCAGGGTTACTACAAAATCTCCAGACATTATCGATGGGCACTGAACCAAGTGTTCAATACGTTCTCTCAGTCCACCGTGGTTATAGTGGAGGACGATCTGGAGGTTAGTGCATGCATGCACAGTTTTGTATTTTTAGTCATTAGAGGCTAGAATGTCCACCACCATAACTAACATTCACCAAGGCTCCTATAATACTGATAACACCAGAACCATGACATAGAAGAACCTAAAACTAGGAGCCGCATTTATAAAACTTTCTATAGAATCATTACTAAATATCCACGTAAACTCAGCAAAAGAACCACTTTGTTAATTGTTTTCATAGCTTTTTTAATCTCCACGATATATTTACAGCTATGCTATGTAAAAGCGTTGAGGCATGAAAAATAAATGTTTTAAGCTAATTTATTTTCCAAATTTGCAGTACCAGTTTTAATGCACCAATAAGTAATTTAAATATATACAGGTCCTTCTCAAATAATTAACATATTGTGATAAAGTTCATTATTGTCTGTAATGTACTGATAAACATTAGACTTTCATATATATTGGATTCATTACACGCAACTGAAGTAGATCAAGCCTTTTACTGTTTCTAATATTGATGATTGTGGCGTACAGCTCATGGAAACCCAAAATTCCCATCTCAAAAAATTTGCTTATTTAATCTGACCAAAAAAAGAAAAGTGTTTTTAATGCAAAGAAAGTCAACCTTCCAATAATTACATTCAGTTATGCACTCAATACTTGGTCGGGAATCCTTTTGCAGAAATGACTGCTTCAATGCGGCATGGCATGGAGGCAATCAGCCTGTGGCACTGCTGAGGTGTTATGGAGGCGCAGGATGCTTCGATAGAGGCCTTAAGCTCATCCAGAGTGTTCGGTCTTGCGTCTCTCAACTTTCTCTTGACAATATCCCACAGATTCTCTACGGGGTTCAGGTCAGGAGAGTTGGCAGGCCAACTGAGCACAGTAATACCATGGTCAGTAAAGCATTTAGCAGTGGTTTTGGCGCTGTGAGCAGGTGCCAGGTCGTGCTGAAAAATGAAATCTTCATCTCCATAAAACTTTTCAGTAGATGAAAGCATGAAGTGCTCCAAAATCTCCTGATAGCTAGCTGCATTGACCCTGCCCTTGATAAAACACAGTGGACCAACACCAGCAGCTGACATGGCACCCCAGACCATCACTGACTGTGGGTACTTGACACTGGACTTCAGGCATTTTGGTATTTCCCTCTGCCCAGTCTTCCCCCAGACTCTGGCACCTTGATTTCTGAATGACATGCAAAATTAGCTTTCATCTGAAAAAAGTACTTTGGACCACTGAGCAACGGTCCAGTGCTGCTTCTCTGTAGCCCAGGTCAGGCACTTCTGCCGCTGTTTCTGGTTCAAAAGTGGCTTGACCTGGGGAATGCGGCACCTGTAGCCCATTTCCTGCACACACCTGTACACGGTGGCTCTGGATGTTTCTACTCCAGACTCGGTCCACTACTTCTGCAGGTCCCCCAAGGTCTGGAATCTGTCCTTCTCCACAATCTTCGTCAGGGTCTGGTCACCGCTTCTCTTTGTGCAGCGTTTTCTGCCACACTTTTTCCTTCCCACAGACTTCCCACTGAGGTGCCTTGATACAGCACTCTGGGAACAGGCTATTTGTTCAGAAATTTCTTTCTGTGTCTTACCCTCTTGCTTGAGGGTGTCAATGATGGCCTTCTGGACAGTAGTCAGGTCGGCAGTCTTTCCCATGATGGCGGTTTTGAGTAATGAACCAGGCTGGGAGTTTTTAAAAGCCTCAGGAATCTTTTGCAGGTGTTTAGAGTTAATTAGTTGATTCAGATGATTAGGTTAATAGCTTGTTTAGAGAACCTTTTCATGATATGCTAATTTTTTGAGATAGGAATTTGGGGTTTTCATGAGCTGTATGCTAACATCATCAGTATTAGAAACAATAAAATACTTGAACTACTTCAGTTGTGTGTAATGAATCTAATATATATGAAAGTCTAATGTTTATCAGTACATTACAGAAAATAATGAACTTTATCGCAACTAAGCAAATTTTTTAGAAGGACCTGCAATATATTTTAAAAAGAATTCAATCACAGATGAGATTTTTATTCTCAGTTCAGAGAGGAGAGGAGGGGAGGGGCTGATTGTTGGTTTGTGTTGGTGAGCGTTTAAAAGTTTGTAAATGTGTCCTAAATTCACCGGCTGACCTGTCAGCTTTTCACTCTGTTTGCTCAAATTAACATTTTTCAATCAAGATGTTCTTTCTAAATTCCCGGAAATTCTCTTACAGTTTTCAGACCCTGTTTTGTGCGTAAGCAAGCATTATAAATGAGGCCCCCGCACCTGGACTTGGACGAACCTTATCATTCAATTGAATTAGTTTTATTGAGATGGTTACAATTCACAGCACAAGTCTTCACAAGGCACTCTGCAAAGCAAACATTCCAGCTGAACCTAAAACTGCGAGCAACTTTTTCACTCGTTGCATTCAGCTGAACCTAAAACTGCATCACGGGAGTTTGCCCAACCAAAAACCAGCCGTGGTGTTGAGGGTGTGGAGTTTAATGGCAGGAGAATCTCGTCTCATCTCTGCTTTAAGTGAATGATGTGGTCCTCCTAGCTTCGTCAGGCTTTAACCTACAGCTCTTGCTGGGGAGGTTTGCAGGCGAGTGTGAAGCGACTGGGATGAGGATCAGCACCTCCAAGTCTGAGACCATGGTTCTCGACTGGAGAAGGGTGACTTGTCAACTCCGGGTGGGGAGAGAGGTCCTGCCTCAAGTGGAGGAGTTCAAGTATCTTGGGATCTTGTTCACGAGTGAGGTAATGAGGAAGCGGGAGATCAACAGGTGGATTGGGGCAGCTTCTGCAGTGATGCGGATGCTGAACTGGTCTGTTGTGGTGAAGAAGGAGCTGAGCCAGAAAGCAAGGCTCTCGATTTACCAGTTACCGCCCAGTCCTCACCTATGGTCATGAACTTTGGGTAATAACTGAAAGAACAAGATTGCGGATACAAGCGGCCGAAATGAGTGGGTCTGCCTTAAGCCCCCCTCAGACAGGCCATGAAAAACGGAAATGTTCGGGACTCTGTCCTTATGACCTTTGTGTCTGAATACAAACATCCGGATAACCTTTTCCGTAATTAAACCGGACGAAGCCCCTAGTAACAGGACCGGACTTGTCACGGACAGGGTGGCTTCTTCAGACTGGTGAGTCAGAGTTCCGGACGGGGACAAGGGGGAGGAGGAGGGGACCGGTGGACGCTGTGCGCCCCTAGATAGCTCGCTCCTATAGCATACGGCGAATCATGGCAGCTCGCCTCCTATGGTACCATCTCCTAGATGTGCGACGGAGCGCTTCACACCGCTTCGGTGATTCTTTTATTAACCATTGAGCTTCGTCATCCAGGTCTCTTATTCGTCTTCGTGTGTGCAGAATTATGCTTAACATAAGTCCGATCAGTGAGAGGAATTCTATCTCTTCGTCGGCCATGTTTGACTGAATAGCTTTGTTTGGGTAAATGACGCATGTACGCCCGCCACACTATGTTTACGCAATATCCGGGTATAGCCTTCCCACCTCCTCCCCCTCAGACATCTGAAACTTTTCCCTGCTGTGTGAAGGCAGCAAAAAGGACAAGTTCAGGTACAAAACTGGTGTGTCTGAAAACACAGTTCTGGTTAAAAACCGGACTGAATTGTCCACACATATTCCAGAATGTCAATCTGGAAAGGGCTTTAGAGATAGGGTGAGGAGCGTAGATATTCGGAAGACACTCGGAGAGAGCCGCTGCTCCTTCATACCGAGAGGAGTCAATTGAGGTGGTTTGGGCATCTTATTGGGATGCCTCCTGGACGCCTCCCCAGGGAGGTGTTTTAGGCTTCTCCTGCTGGCAGGAGGCCCACTGGTCGACCCAGGACACGTTGGAGAAAGTACATCTCTGAACTGGACCGGGAGTGCCTTGGGGTCCTACTAGAGGAGCTGGTGGAGGTGGCCAGGGAGAGGACAGTCTGGAACTCCCTAGTTGGGATGCTGCCCCTGTGACCCTGACCTGGATAGGCGGAAGATGATGAGATTATTGTAAAAATTCCCAGAATCAAACTGAATGAATTCATAAGTCCAAAAATGTATTTAATTGTTAAACATAGTTTGCCCTTAATGGGAAGGAAAAGTCCCGGTGACCATTTTAAGGTTTACCCGAAAGGGTTAATAGTTTCCCCCCAGTGAACTAACCCAGTGTTGCGTCATTGAATTATGGGCAAATAATTAAGGCAACAGCTCAAACATGTATTTTTAATATCAATGGTCCATATTTATATCAAATTAAATCTGATTGTGATAATTGAGTGAAACCCTTGAGATTCGTAATCAAATTGATTCTTAAAGTTTGAATCGGTAGCAACACGTTGGACCTAAAATATGCTAAAATTACTTTTTACAGAACACATCAGACCTTTGAATTTAGAAACCCCAAAGAAAGGACTGTTATGCTGTATTGATGTATTTTGTCCTTGAGGCTTGCTGCAGTTTTAGGACACACTGGATCATGGTGGTTGGCGGTAGGAAAAGAATGAATGGCAGGCTGGAAGTAAACCAGGGTTTGGTGATTCATTTTTATTTTATATAAACAGGCAAACATGCTTTCTTGACAATGCTTGTCACCGTGTGCGGAGAAAAGTGTAAAAATAAAACGGGACAAATGTGTGGGCATTGAAATGGTTAGGCAGACATGCATGAGCGGCTCAGGTACATTTGGGTCGTAGCGCTGCTCAAACCGTGAGATGCCCTCACAAGGGTCAAGCAGAGTTTCAAACATGTTGGATTTTTTTTTTAAACATCTTTGGTATGTTCTCTGTCTTGCATTTCTAACTGCGTTGTTGGTTCTTTTTTTAAAACACAGAAAAGGTTTCTTTTTTACCTTGCTGCTGGCAGTTTCGTTCGCGGCTGCAAACTTCCTCAGAGCTGACGCGTTTATCCATGGGCAGCAGAGGACGTTGTCGCCCTCTGCTGCCCGCTCTCCCCTCTCCGATGATGCAGTCCCATGCACGATCCAATGTGTAAACCCCATTGTCTCTGTTCATAGTCTCACATCCACGTCTCCTTATCTCTAGGAGGATCTCCTAGAGATAAGGAGACGTGGATGTGGGACTGCATCATCAAAGAGGGGATAAACCATCGACATCTATACTGGACAATTCATTTCCATAGGCTCCAATAACACGTTTTTGAAGAAAAATGGGAGGTGACCACCACCGCCATTTTGACCGTGTCACAGGTTCTGTCAAGCCCACACAATTCCACAAAAGGGAAGAGAGGTGGAGCTGAGGGTGGGGCTGTAAGGCTGGGATCAACTGACGACACCCGGTCGAACTAGCTACAAGCTAACCTGAAGCTAACCCAAAGCTAATGCGGAGGTGGGAGCTAAGCTAACGGAGGGAGCAACCTAGCTACAACCGTCGTTAACTGTGCACAACAGCAGAGCTTCTGAGTCAGAGATACGCCGGGCTAACCGCTGGGTAAAACCGGGTGGAACACAGAGGTCTCCCGAAAGCTGCTGAAAGCCGGCAGCCCGCGCAGCAGACAGAAGCCGTGATCAGATAGAGATGTGCCGAGCTGCTGGGAGGGGAGAAACGGGTGGAAAACATCGGTCTCCCTAGAGCTCCACAAGCCGATAGTGGGAACCCAGCTCCACCAACATGTTATATTTCAACCCATTTTCTAAAGTGCAGCATTATGTTAAATGCACTGGGTTTTACCCTATTACATTTAAATTTCATGGTTAAACAGTACATGTTAAAATCTAAGCTCAGCTCGGCAGTGACCTAAAATACATGAATATAATTTTACTTACCGAAAAAAATGAAGTGGAGACTCCTTGGACGCTCTATTAGTGCAATTAATGCCACAGCAAGTCATTTTGTCCCACAATTGCACAAATGATATCCAAAAAAGAATACACAAACACAGAGACTCAAAATCCCGGAGCAGTTTCCAGGCCAGACCGAGGCTCTACTGAGGCTTTTCCACGGAGCTAGCTCTGCGGTCATGTGGGTCTGATGCTCACTAATTATACAGAATTTTAGGCTTTTAATACACTTAAACAGAAGAGTGAGAAAAAAAATTCACCCCCTCAGAGTTGTCATGAGTGTAAACTAGATCATTTAAACCTAAAACATGTTTTGGTACCAGGCTGTAAACATGTTTATTTCTGCTGTGAAATTGGTATTTTCAACATGAGAGTCGATGAGGATTTGCTCGCTTCTGACACCAGCCCCCAGTGGATGAGGGTGGAACTGCAATTTTTGGTACTTCCGGGTTGGCCTCAATTTTTGAGCTGCATTGTGGGGGCTTGGGATAAACGGAGTAGGAAGTGACGCCACCATCAGCATCAGCTCTAAGGAAGTTTGCAGCCGCGAACGAAACTGTCAGCAGCAAGGTAAAAAAGAAACCTTTTCTGTGTTTTAAACATAACCAACAATGTTGGATTTTTGTGCGACCACATGGCGGATGATTGGGATTTTTAGATTAAAGAAGATAAATATATGAGCAAAAACGGGACCAGTAAGCCAAGATCTGAAGGTGCTGGTTGGGTTCTGATGTTTCAAAGATAAGTTCTTGCTGAAAAAAGGAAGCAAAATTTAAACAAATTATTTTTTGAATGCAGTTTTGCATATTTTGCTCACACACACACACACACACACACACACACACACACCACACCAAGATGAGACATTTGAGGAAATGCGACTAATGCAGCTCTCTTTCCTGGTCCAGGTGGCTCCCGACTTCTTTGAGTACTTCCGGGCTCTGTATCCCATCCTGCGCTCTGATGCCAGCCTGTGGTGCGTTTCTGCTTGGAATGATAACGGTCGAGATGCTCTGGTGGACTCGTCCAGAGCCAAGCTCCTTTACAGAACAGACTTTTTTCCTGGGCTGGGCTGGATGCTGCTGAAGGAGCTGTGGGAGGAACTGGAACCAAAATGGCCGTCAGCCTTCTGGGATGACTGGATGCGCCAGCCTGAACAGAGAAAGGACCGTTCTTGCATACGGCCTGAAATCTCTCGAACTATCACCTTTGGCCGTAAAGGGGTCAGTCTAGGTCAGTTCTTTGATCAGTACCTCCGCTACATTAAGCTCAACACTGAGTTTGTGCCTTTTACCAAACAGAACCTGTCTTATTTACTGAAGGAGCACTATGACGAAACGTTTGTTAGAGAGGTTTACAGTGCCACGCTGGTGAAGATGGAAGACCTACAGAAAGGTGGCGCCTTAAGGAGTCCTGGACCCTACAGAGTGCAGTATTCCAGCAGGGACAGTTTTAAAGTTTTTGCTCGAAACTTGGGAGTGATGGACGATTTGAAATCGGGAGTTCCCCGTACGGGTTACAGAGGTGTAGTAAGCTTCCATCACCGAGGCCGAAGGGTGTTCCTGGCCCCGCCGGAGGGATGGACTCACTATGATGTAAGCTGGAGCTGAGAGTTGTCCAGAACAGAAAGAGGGAACCACCTCAGACCAAAGATAAGTACAGGAGAGGGTTATAGGTCACAGGGGCTGATTATAGGTTACAGAGACGGGTTGCTGTTTCTTTAGTTCTAATGAAGTCTGAAGAACCCAGCTAGATGACTTTTGATTCTCATCCAATGAGCATTCTTTGTTCTTCTCAGATGAGAACCCAGTCCAGTTTTCTCCCTCAGATCTAGAGCCAACATGGTCTGGCTGAGTGAGATTCACCCACAAACAAATCAAAAGCCCAACAATTTGTTTGTTTAACATATTTACTAAAAATAAAGTCTCATAATGAAATGTTCTAACAACTCCGATCTGGTACCAGACTGGTCGAACCTGGAATGAAGCTCCTGGAGCTCCTGGTCTAATCCCCTCACACTGTTGCTTTGCTAAAAAGCTAATCAGAGTGTTTCTTACATTGAGAAGAGCTGTGCTGAACCAGAATCAGGTTTGCATCAACTTTAAAGATAATCTGGGAAAGATTATTCCATAACATTTAGGAATACTTCAGACCAGCAGTAGATCTGAAATTGACCAGGAAACCAATAAATTTTAGACCACAATCTAGTCTAGAACCTTTGTGAAGCCCGTCGTAGCAGCTTTGTCCTAGTAAAGCCTCACACACCAGATGCTTTAGAGGCAGTACCTGTACAGACTCGTGAAGAAATCTCACAAGAACGCCAAATAATTAGAAATTTGACACAATACATTTAAATTCAAATACCTGTTGAGTAACGTGAACTGATATTGCTGTGATTGATGACAAAAGAAAACCGGCAAAAATATTGCAACGAGGGTTTCATTTTGAAATATATCAAAAGTATCACGTGGAAACACGTCTTACTTCCTGTCCATGTGCAGCGTTCTGAAAAAAAAGACTCCATGCCAAAGTTTTCCAGATCTCCGCACCACAGCTGGTGTGAATGCTCTGATTGGACTCTGATTTTTGTTTTTTAATATGTGTAACTCATATGGAGTCCGGACCACATCAGTTCTGCATTCAGTGTGAAAGAGGCTTTACACTTCATCAAAGGATAGCAGAGGCAGGCTGAGCCGGTTTGGTTTTGGTGATATCACTGTACTGTAATCTGCTCTGAGGGATCATCAACTGGTTCTTCTGTCTGGTGATGAACAACCACTGCCTGATCTGTTTATAACTTTATTACAAGAACAATAAAAGACCATATTTTGATATCTGTCTTCAGTCTTGTCTATTTTAATTCTAGCTCTACCCAGTCCTGACTGATTTCTCAGACTTTCCTTCTGAAAGATTGTGTCAGTGGATGATAACACCTCCTGGTTGTTTGTTTCTTCTCTCATGACCTTGTTAAAGAGCAAGTCACCCTCCTACCTGACTCTTAAGGGGCAGCAGTAAACAGTGTGACTCAGACTTTTCACCACCTGTTTAGTTGTGGTTCCTATCATGCTGACCTGGTCCAAAAACAAGATATCAGCAACTTTCAATCGCTTCTTGGCTAGGGGTGGAGTCACTGGATGTTCCAGTGTTCTGCCTGCTGCCAGCTGCCATTTCAAGGCTCTGAGTCCAATGAGAAAGCTAGAAAAACCCAGATTCTTCCTGACATAAGAAGTGAGTCTACTCTTTTTGTAGTTTTGGTGTTTTACATGATCATAAAGCACAATGTTCTGGGACTCTTCAAAAAACATTGGCAGTTAGGGTGTCTTTGGGGCTACCTTGCACCTTTCAGCGGAAGCTTACAGCTGTGCTTTGTCACAAAGTAGTCCTAAGTCTAACATAGCACCTGTGAATCCTTTGTTACTAAATATTAAATATTTTCACTTGACTAATAAGGTCACCAAGAACTGGGGTAACTACTGAGTGATTTTAAGGACTGTTTTACTCACAATGCTAGTTGGACGCATTAACTTAAAGCTAAAGGAGTACAGGTGGGTCAGGAGAATGACCAGGCTGGTTAGAAAAAATTTCCCACTTCTCCAACTCTGGGACATATGTCAACAGACAAAATTACATTTTTGGGTGGAATTTCCCTTTAATCCACACTTCCTGTTGTGTGGTTTTGTAATAGTGAAGTAGAGACAATTGGAGTGTACAGTGGGGAATCAGAAGGGTTTTATTGCCATTTTTGTGACAATCACAACATTAGGAAATGTTTGCGGTACTTGATGAAAGAAAACTGAATGATGAGCAAAATTAGAATTTGGAAGTACACACAATGAAATTATAATATTGACCCTTTGCACCTACGTCACCTAATCGCGTGGGTCCGCATACTGGACGGCAAAAGCATGTAAACAGTGAGCAACATGAGTACTAAACAAAGGGAAAAGCAAAGCCTGAAATTTGTTTTTGCAATCTTTAGCATTCCTTCTACTAGTTCAAGCTCATGTTCAGTTATCAGAAGAAGTAGCGCACATAGATGGGGCTCACAGACAGCGGTATTTACAAAAATTAAGTATTATTAACTAGCTTACGGACGTTAGCTCAAGTTCTCTCTGCAGCCATTTATCGAAGTTAATAAGTTGCTGACTTTGCCTAAATTCACCCGACTGGATTTATAACATTGTTATAAACAGCGTTTCACTTCACACCGAAGCCGATTTTTAAAAGTCTGGATCCCTACCAGTTTTTGTTTCTGGTGGTGTCACCGGGTTCAGCTGCTACTCTCACACCGGGATGAGAAGATCTCCGAACGGCGACGCTCGTACTAAACTTAATTTTAACATACGTAATCATACATTGGAGTAGTAATACTGTAAATAATTATCTCGCATTTCACTACAGTGGACGGTACCACCGTCTCCGGTACCATGCGTCCTCAATGGGGAAATATCCATCCTTCAGAACGCATCACATTTGCCCTTTTTCTTCCTCATGAAATCAATAAACGTTAATCTTACCCGGTAAAATCACGTTCGCTGTAAACCTGAGGGCTGCTAGTCCATTTGATTGATCGCTGCAGTTCATCTCCGTCCTCAGTCTCGATCAACGTTATTTGAAAAAAACAAAAAACGAATTGACTTTACATCCTTGTTTGTTAGTGCAGCCAACCACGCAGCAAGTTGTAACCATTTTACTGTGAAACCAACTAAATAAAAGCGATAAAAGGCTACAAACAGGCTTGTTTTGACTAGCTTCACCGGAGTTTCAACGTGCGTAAACGGTCTTTTTGCCGTCCATCATGGCGAACAGAGCGGTCCCATGAGTGGCGTGATGTCACATGCAAAGGCTCAGTAGGGAATCAGTAATTAGAGAAGCAGCTACTTTACACAAGTCAGTGTAGGTACTGGTCAGATCGGGCCAGTTCAGGTGCAAACACAACAAATGGTCATGTGACTGAAACAAAGCAGCTGGAGTGGGCAGTTCTATGATTGTCATTCACAGTCCGTCAGCAGAGGGGAATAAACTGTTTTTGTGGTGAGAGGTTCTGGTCTGAATGGATTGGAACCTCCTGCTTGATGGAAGCGAGTCAAAGAGACTGTGTCCAGAGTCAGACGGGTCAGCTTCTTCTTGTTCCTGGTGGTGGCTCCAGCATATCACACGGTGACTGAAGAGGTGAGGATGGACTCGATGACCGCGGTGGAAAACTGCCTCACTGACTGTACTAATGGGTTGAATTTCTTCAGCTGCCGCAGGAAGTTAATCCTCTGCTGGGCTTTTTTTATGATGGAGGTGACGGTGGTACCCAGGAAGAGACATGAGTCTACCATCGTGATGGGAGTGTCTGACAGGGTTATAGGAGGGAGTGGGGCTGTGTGCTTCCTAAAGTCCACAACAACCTCCGCTGTCTTCTGTGCATTTAGCACCAGGCTGTTCGACCTCCATTCTGTAGGAGGACTCATCTCCGTCAGAGATGAGTCCGATGACGGTGGTGTTGTCTGCAAAGTTGATCAGCTTGACAGACCCGTGGTTGGAGGTGCACCCGTTGGTGTACAGGGAGAAGGGCAGAGGGGAGTGAACACAGCCCTGAGGGGAACTGGTCTTGATGGTCCGCGGGCCTGAGACATTTTTCCCCAGCCTCACTTGCTGCTTCCTGTCCATCAGGAAGTCAGTGATCCACCTGCAGATTGGGTCAGGCACATTCATCTGGGACAGTTTGACTTGGAGGAGGTCTGGGAGGATTGTGTTGAAGGCAGAGCTGAAGTCCACGAGCAGGATCCTGGTGTATGTTCCTGGGGAGTCCAGATGCTGCAGGATGAAGTTAGAGCCATGTTGATTGTGTCATCTACAGACCTGTTGGCTTTGTAGGCAAACTGCAGGGGGTCAAGGAAGGGGACTGTGTGGGTCTTGAGGTGGGAGAGAATCAGGTGCTCAAATGACTTCATGACCACAGATGTCAGAGCCACGGGTCTGTAGTCATTGAGTCCAGTGATCCTTGGCTTCTTGAGGACAGGGACTATGGTGGAGGTCTTGAAGCAGGGGGCACAAGACATGCCTCCAGTAAGGAGTTGAAGATGCCCGTAAACACTGGGGCCAGCTCTTCAGCACAGTTTTTTAGAGTGGCAGGAGACTGACGGAATACAGTCGGTAAAGAGGGCTCTGTCTGGCCCCTTGCTCCCACCTTCCTCCAACTTAAAGGCTTCGTTATACCGAGTTATTTCCGTTGTTATTCTGCCAAAGGCTTAGATCCCTTAAGACAGAACATTTCAGCTACAAAATGTTTAGTAAGCATTCTGTTAACACGATTTCAGCCATCTGGAATTTCTTCAACACAGCCAAAGTCTACTTGGAGGAAGAAACCTGAAGGGCAAAGACAGGTAATTATCTGGGTAATCAAAGCAACCGAGCTACCAGTCTTGCTTTGATTAGCTTTTTCTGTGCTTTAGAGTTCAATAAACCTGACTTTTATGCGTGTGAGCTGGCCCCAGTCAAACCCCCTCCTGAACAGTGTCGGAGGACCTCGCGTCACCACTGACCACCAAACATATTCTACTTCTAACTAGCTGTCGTGACTGCACCCCCACACACAGCCCCACTAGCAACTGAAAGCCCGGCCAATCAGTGCCCAAGATCAGGGGGTGCAACAGGCATGGGCTAACTGCTGCCTGTAGTTTATGCTTTTGTCCACTGAAGTCTAGTTCAAGTGGAACCATGGGGTATTTGTGCATGTCCGTGTTATACATTTAATCAAAACACCCATCGAGCCCCCCACGCTCTCGGACCGCACCAGTCGTCTGGAAACAACCCGAAACCGCTAACGCCTGGCATGTGAACCCCCAACCTTACCAGCACCAGAAACAGGTCCCTGAGTGTGGCCCGGATCAGTCACACCACTCGGGATCCTCTGTCCATCTCCGTGTTTCGACTATCTGTGCTTGCTCGTCGAATATTCCTACCGCAGCATTTCGCTCTTGTTTACAGTATAGTAGCGCGCTTATTAAGCACGGTTTATTTCAAATAGGTGATATGACTCAAAAATACAGATTTGTAGTATTTTTTTAGCAAAAATTTACATTGTTGTGGTTTATTTATGAGAAAGACTGTCATGATTCCATGAATGACGGTAAACAATGGGAGAAATTTCTTGTTTACAGTATAATAATGATATTTTACAAGCCATTTACAAGCTAACTGTCAGGTAAACACACAACAAGCAGTAATATAACAACTTCCAGCTTACTCTTCAGGTAAACAGCCTGTGACACAGTAATCAGTCTGTGCATTTGCATTTGTCCAAAGTAGCACACATGGAGGAGTAGCACGGATAGTCAGAGCACTGACTGTCCGTAGCTCCAGCAGAGACTCGGAAAATCGCTAATCATCTGCGCTGGGCTCAATGCGGTCGACACTCAGGGTGGGGCCCCATCAGCCCCTGGGCCTGGAGGTGCCCGATGTTGGCGTCTTGGGTCGTAGCTTCTGTGGTGCGGGGATTAGTCTTATCACACTGTCTGGCCAAGGCGCTGCAGCTCCGTCCTCCTTCGCCTGGACACGCCGTGGGTGCGTGGCTAGGTGGTCTTCAGCCAAACTGATCGCCTTCTGGAGGCTGGTCGGACAGTGGCACGGGTCCCTGGGATGGGGTAGACCCATCCCTCCTGTTGAGGGGAACCCTGGCACCCACAGGCACACACCTGCATGCACATTCACGATCAGCCAGTAACCTTCCCGTTCCGTTTACACTACACAGCTGTTAAATCATCTAGACTCTTCCTTCCTTTTGCGCGGGACACGACAAGGGTGCACACTTGTGTGCGTCCCGCTGTCTAATGGTTAAACAA